TAATGATGTTTTCACTCTGCTTTTTGTAAAACTCAGCATGATTGATTATTTCAAAGGGTATTATGAAAAATTTCAAAAGCTATTCAAAATAAAATTATTTTTAACTGAATTTGCCTGAAACGTTCAATATAATTTTTTAAAAATTATGGAACGTGTCATGAATTTGCATGTAATCCTTGCTCCAGGGTCTTGCTAATCTTCCTTTTCATTCCATTTTTAGTACTGCTGAAGTGAGCACTCTAATTTTTATGACACACATACTCACACCAGTAAAGTGCTAACCTTGTTTAAGATTAGGTATCATTGATTTATCAGATAAGGCAGAAAACTTGCAATCTGAGCTTTCTGATTGACTGAGTTTTCTGGATGACCTTGGGCAAGTCATTTAAACCCTTAGCTTTAGTTTCCTTATCTTAAAGACAGGCACATCTATTCCTTCCCTAGTCTGATGTCATAGGGATGTGGTTAAAGAAAAGTAGACAAAGTGCCAATATTTTGAGCTGAGAGATGAGCTCCATCGAATTCAATGCATATCATTCTCTAGTTCTTTAGGGAGACATTCTATGAAAGTCTAGCGGATAATCCCGGCTAATTAGATGCCACTCCTACACTGTTTAACTAATGTGTGAGTTCTCTTTGCGCCTGGCACTCTTGTATGGCAGGTGCTTCCACAAGGTTCTATCTGCTTATTAATCACGCTCTTTAAAGAACTTATCTATAAGGCGTAGAGGTGGAAGATAGGTGTGTCTTGTATGTATCTATACTCAAATATGTGTAAATAGGTTTTTAAAAGTTTAATTTATTAGTTTCAGGGGTACACAACAATGTACTAGTTAGACATTTACACCCCTCACAAAGTGACAGCCCTTCTCCTCCAATCTGCTACTTCTCAATAGCAGATTTTTCTTAATAAAAGTGGACAAACTTTTCTAAAAAGTTGGTGATTTGATGGGGAGAAGGAAGAACTACTATTTGTATTTAGAAAAGCCTGTTTGCTTTAGAAAGTGTAGAATTGTTGATACTGTAAATATAGCATATCCCCCAGCTTCAAACACAGGTCCCAGGCCAAGTTAAAATGTTATATATAAACCAAGCTTCCGTAGTACCATACAACCATCTTAAAACTCAAGGTCCAGGAAAGTGTGGTGATTTAAGGAGTGAAAAGGCCATGGGTTTTAGAGACGTACACCCCGGAATTTGCATTCTGGCAAATTTGTTAACTGAGCTTGTTTGTTAAAAATCTCATAAGAGGGCAGGCTGAGTGGGGCGATGGTTAAGAACTGGCTTGGGACGCCAGAGGGCCCCGGTTCGGATCCCACATATGAGGGCCAGTGACACTGACCTCCACAGCTAAGATGCTGAACAGCAGCTCAACCTGGAGCTGGGCTGCCGTGAGTCGGCGGCGATGGTGTAGGCTGCAGCCCCTGTGGCAGTGGGTTGCCATGGGCTACCGTGTGTAGCTGGCAGCCAGCGTGAGCGGCCGTCCAGAGGCCGGCGACTGATCTGCCTCACCCGGGAAGAGCGCAATGATGGTGCCAACTTGGGCCAGTGAAGCAACGTCCTCCACAACTAGACTGAAGAACAAAAGGACAGCAACTTGTCTGTTCCCCTTCCCCCAATTCCCCACCGCTGTTCCCATCCCTTCAATTCCCCGATTAAAAAAAAAAATCTTTAAAAAAAAAATCTCGTAAGATGAGAAGACCATTACTACCTTCTGCCTAAGGTCATGAAGATTAACTTTTTTTGTAAAGAGAATAGAAATTCTCTTGGGAATTGGAGGGCTATGGACAATGCTAACAAATACGAGGTGTGATCAAACAATATGGTGAATGATTAAAGAAAAAAGAATTATCACAATAAAAGACATATTGGCATTAATCCCCCTCAAAAAACTCCCCCTCACTGCAAACATACTTATCCCATCGTCCTTGCCACTTTTCAAAGCAGCCTGGAAGTCCTCTTTTAGTTACACTGTTGTGGCTACCTCCATGTCCTGAATCATTTTGACTTTGGGGAAGAGCCAGAAGTTGCACGGTGCCAGATCCTGTGAATAAGGTGGATGAGGACACACTGTAATGTTTTTATTTGACAGAAATTGTCATACCAGAGACGATGTGTGACACGGAGCCTTTCAGTTGTGATTAACAAATATGGTGAATGCTGCTGCTGAGTGCCATCCAATGGAAAGGCAGGGATTTTCAATACAGAAAGTGGCCTGTGGAACCTTAGTAACAGTGTGTGACAAGTTTCCACTTGTTTGGTGCAGTCAGTTGGGTGTGAGCTATGGTTGAGAGGTGTATTTTAAAGCGTGCCCTAAATTATCCTTCATCATGACAACACTCTGTGTCACACATCACTTCTGGTACAGCAATTTCTGTCAAATAAAAACATTATGGTGTGTCCTCATCCACCTTATTCACCGGATTTGGCATTGTGTGATTTCTGGCTCTTCCCCAAGGTCAAAATGATGCAGGACATCGAGGCAGCCACGACAGCACAACTAAAGACACTCATGAAAGAGGGCTTCCAGAACTGCTTCAGAAAGTGGCAAGAATGATGAGATAAGTATGTTCAAAGCAAGGGGAGTAGTTTGAGGAGGACTGATGGCAATGTGTTTTTTACTGTAATAATTTTTTTTATTTAAACATTTGCCGTATTGTTTGATCACACCTCTCATCTGGAAAATTAGGAAGTGAATTTTAGCTTAGTGTCGGTTTGGAATATAAGGCAGAAATTCTTAAGGTGATGAAAGGAGCTGTGTTTTCAATTAGTGAGGGATCATGCCAGAAATGGAGAATTAGAAGAGGGCAACGGAGAAGAAAATGAAGGGCTAAGAGAATAAGGGAAGAAAAGTTATGACATAAAACACAGTAATCTCTTTCTGGCATGATCCCTCACTAATTGAAACCTCCCCTGAATGAATTCCCTTCATCAGGTTCCTCAAATGCCTACACATGAAAATCAACAGACATTTCTTTAAAAAGTGACTAACTCTGGGCCGGCCGAGTGGCGTGATGGTTAAGAACTGGCTTGGGACGCCAGAGGGCCCCGGTTCGGATCCCACATATGAGGGCAGCTAAGATGCTGAACAACAGCTCAACCTGGAGCTGGGCTGCTGTGAGTCGCCAGCGATGGCTTAGGCTGCAGCCCCTGTGGCAGTGGGTTGCCATGGGCTACCGTGTGTAGCCAGCAGCCAGCGTGAACGGCCAGCAGCCACAGTGAGCGGCCGGCCAGAAACCGGCAACTGATGTGCCTCACCTGGGAAGAGCGCAATGATGGTGCCAACTTGGGCCAGTGAAGCAACGTCCTCTACAACTAGACTGAAGAACAAAAGGACAGCAACTTGTCTGTTCCCCTTCCCCCAATTCCCCAGCATTCTTCCCATCCCCCCATTTCCCCAATAAAAATCTTAAAAAAAAAAAAAAAAGCGACTAACTGTAGCCTTTGTCCCTGATCCATGGCAAAATACATTTTGGTATAAAATCTACAAACATTTAGTTCTAAAAGAAACACTCTGAACCACATACAAAGTTTTTGTTTTTGTTTTTTTAAGATTTTTTTATTGGGGAATTGGGGAAGGGAACATTGTGTTTTTCCAGGACTCATCAGCTCCAGGTCAAGCTGTTGTCCTTCAATCTTAGTTGTGGAGGGCACAGCTAGCTCAGCTCCAAGTCCAGTCACTGCTTTCAATCTAGTTGTGGGGGGTGCAGCCCACCACCCCATGTGGTAGTCGAACCGGCAACCTTGTCGTCAAGAGCAAATGCACTCACCAGCAGAATCATCTGGCTGCCTGTTAGCAGCTCAGTGGCAGCTCAGCTCGGGTGCAGCTCACTGGTCCATGTAGGAATCGAACCGGCGACCCTGTTGCTCAGAGCTCGCGCTCTTAACCAACTGTGCCACCCGACCGGCCCCAAAGTTTTCAATTAAAAATTTGAATTATTCCTATTCTGCATATTAACAGTATATAGGGGAGAAAATCTTTTTCTCTACACTCTTGTGTTCTGTGTCTGGAGACTGTGAATTAAGCTGTCAAAAGACATTATCAGGAGAAAAGGATGTACATATTTTATTGACATTTTATTTTTTTAAAATAGAATATATATACTATATTTTATTGAATGTTATTGGTTTACTATTTTTAATTTTACATGCATGGGGGCTTCACAGAGAAGAAGTGAAAACCCAAAAAGGTGGTTAGACCTGGGAGCCTATATACTATTTTAACAAAGGGCGACACATTGTAGAGAAGTGACTAGACAAAGGAAAAGGGAGTTTGGACTTCTCAGGGCAGCAAATTGTAGGAAAGTGACCAGTAAATGTAAGGTAGATAAGGGTTGTTTATTAAGGTTTGTTATGCAGACTCCTCTCGGTACCATCTCCAGTGATTAAGAGTCTTCTCTTCCTGGTATGGGAGAGTGGGGCACCTTTACAGATGGGAAATTTATGACCTGCTTTTAGGCAGAGAGCTCCTCCTGTGTCTACTGTTTCTGAATTGTCTTCAGCTCAGAATGATCCTTATGTCAAAGTGGCATATTTTGGGTTGGCATAATTTGATCCCCATGAAGTACAATAATAGGAAATCATATTCTTTTTTAATAAGACTATTCTATGTAATATAGACTGAAAAAGGACTTTGTTTTAATAAGACTGTAAATATATATTCAAATATAGTCATGGCTGAAGGCATAGCTATATAAGTTTTTAATCCCTCCATTACCACCGCTTTGAAACCCATCAACCATACTTCTTTGTACAATACACCTTCTTCTAATTTGTTTTGTTTTCAAGGTGAACCTGTGATTATTGATTTATAGAACAAACAGGAAGCTCACTGTACTCCCTCTGTAGCAATGAGGGTTGTTCATGGTCATTTTGAGGCCACTAACATGAAATTCTACCTGTATTCATAAAACAATGCCTATTGTGAATGAGACAAGGATTGATTTACACTTACAGAGTATTAAATAGTTTTCCATTTTGGTTTTTCTGTCTGACAGCAGCAGCGTGCAGGGTCAAAGACAGCCGGCCTCCCATGTCAGTGGTCTAGGATGGCCAGTGAAGCCACCAACATCCCAAGTCCTGTGGTGCGCCAGATTGACAAGCAGTTTCTGATTTGCAGTATATGCCTGGAACGGTACAAGAACCCCAAGGTTCTCCCCTGTCTGCACACTTTCTGCGAGAGGTAAGCCTCCTTTGTGCGTGGAGAAGGGAGTTTCTTTAAAGGGCTCTTTCCAGAATTCTCCAGTTACCTACAGGAGACAATAAATCTTTTGTGCTTCTGGTAGACATCTAGAAACGTAATCATGAATTGCCTATAATTTACTTTATTTCAAGTAATTACAAGTGGGAAGAAGCAATTTATTTCCATGGGAGATGAGGCATTTAAAACATTAAAAAATTTTTTCCTTTGTTCTTGGTGAAACAATTTTTGCCAACCACAGTTCTCTCAGAGAGGATCTTTGGTGAGGGCCAATTAAAAATCTATAGGGCCGGCCGAGTGGCTCAGTTGGTTAAGAGCTTGCTCAAGAGTTTGAGCTCTGAGCAACAGCGGTTCGAGTCCAGCCCGAGCTGAGCAGCCGCTGAGCTGCCAACAGGTAGCAGGATGGCTCAGCTAAAAAAAAAAAAAAAAAAAAAAATCTATCATTTCCTCCCGTATAATAAATCAGGTAAAATGCCTGCATATATATGAGGGTTAGTTAAAAGGGGAGAGCTATCTTCCACAGATACTTTAGAATACACAAACTAATGGCATATTTGAATATTATGATGTTTCAGATAAAGGAAAAAAAACTATATACATATGAAATAATTATAAATTACCAGAATATGCATGTTGCTGTATGTGAAAATATACTTCTTTATTTATCTTTTTTGATTTTTTTTTTCATTGAGTTAATCAGTTATTAAAGTACATCTTTACTCCCTCGTTCAACCTACCACATAAGCAATTAAGCATAAAAAGATTGTTAGTCATTAGTTTATCTATGGCCTATTTTAAGTATTTCTCTAGTAAGGTTATCTATTTTTTTCTTAAAAACAAACATAGTAATTCTATTTTATAACATTATGTTAAATATATTTTCTGTTATCACTTAATACACATAATTAAAACGCATTGCTTCTTGTTATAGAACAGGAAGTTAGTATTTCCAATGGCTTCAAATCAATACTAATTACATCGACCATCCAATTTAACATGTATTAGTTGTCTGATTGAGTGTGCTTTGAGTTGATTTACTTTGGAGGACCTCAACAGCAGCAGAATAACCACATCCTTGGTGGTAATAGATGGAGGGAGAAGGTAGATTTGTTACCAGTAGTTGTGGTTTTTACTTGTTTGTTTTGCTTTCTTTATTGTGATGTTTTTTGTATATGTGTAGATACAGAGTTTTTGTTTGTTTGTCTCCGTGGTGATGTATAGGGCACCGATACTTTTTACTTTATCCATTTTATACTTTGGCTGTGTTTTCTGTCATACCTTTTATGTCAGTACTTTGTGATTCATATTCCAAGATAGCTAAATGAAGAGTGATTTTTGTTTCCCTCTCACTCAATAGATGTAGCTAAAACATGAATACCAGCTAGTTGTCCATGTGTCCCTGAGCTAACATGGTAAGCTAATTATTTGATTTGCAGCAGTCTACATAGCCTGGCATTCTTTATTTATAGCGCTGAGAGCCACGCAGTCTGAGCTCAGCAGAGCTGCCCTGTTCCCCAGTGTTCAGTGCCCGGTGGTCTGTTGTTTGGCCCCCATTTCCTCGTTTTGACAGGTGAGAAGCAGCACTTCTGGGCTTCTCTGGCTCTGACCCCTGCCCTCTCGGGTAGGTCCAGCCCTACCCATCTATATGAGATGGAAGTGCTGTTCGCTGAGACAGGAAGAGGACACAATTTGGGGGATGGTCATGGGTTTGGTTTGGGACATGTTGTGTTTTAGAACCTGTGAGACATCTAAGAGGAAATGTTAAGAAGACAGTTGGTGTACAAATTTGGGACTCAGAGGAGATACCTGTGGGAAGAAATATAAACATGAGAGTATTGTGCTTTAGCCAGGCACATGGATATAATATCCCAGGGACAGAAGAGTGGTTACAGTGGAGCCTGGATTAATCCAAAGTGTACAGACTTAGTAGAAACAATATGAGGTCTGACAATTAAGTTCACAAACTTGTTACAACGATGTTGCTAACCTTTTTTGATATCAGAGGGATTATTTATTATGAATTTGTACCAACTGGACAAACAGTTAACCAAGTTTACTATTTGGAAGTGCTAAAAAGGCTGCATGAAAAAGTTAGATGACCTGAACTTTTCTCCTACAATTCGTGGCTCTTGCATCACGACAATGCATCAGCTCACACGGCACTGTCTGTGAGGGAGTTTTTAGACACTAAACAAATAACTGAATTGGACACCCTCCCTACTCACCTGATCTGGCCCCCAATGACTTCTTTCTTTACCCGAAGATAAAGGAAATCTTGAAAGGAAGACATTTTGATGACATTCAGGACATCAAGCGTAATACGATAGCTCTGATGGTCATTCCAGAAAAAGAGTTTCAGAATTGCTTTGAAAGGTGGACTAGGCGCTGGCTTTGGTGCATAGCTTCCCAAGGGGAGTACTTTGAAGGTGACCGTAGTGATATTCAGCAATGAGGGATGTAGCAGTTTTTCTAGGATGAGTTCGTGAACTTAATTGTCCAACCTTGTAGAATTGTCCAACCTTGTAGAGCAGACAGGAGAACCAAGTGAGTGTCGTTCCACAAACCAAGGGAAGATTAGTTTAAAAAAAAAAGGTGGGAGAATAGGAGCATTGTGGTTAAGTTTGAATGCTGCTGAGAAGTCTAGTAAGACAGGATTGAAAAGTGTTTGTTGGATTTAGACATCATTAGTGACCTTAGCAAAAGCTGTTTCTTTCCTATTATTCAGCCCTAGATTCAGCCCTAGTTACCTCTGTGACATAAGAAAAGTTAATTAACCTCGTTGATGTCAGTTTTCTTATCTGCAAAGTAAGGGATATAGCACAAAATCATTGATTTTCAAATTCTCTTTGGCCAACAAACTGGAAAACATTGTATAGTGTAGTTATTTAGAGTTTAGATTCTGGTACCAAATTGTCCTGGTTTGACTTCCTGCTCTGCCCTGGACCACTTAAGTCCTTTGGGCAAGTACCTCACCCTCTCTGCCTGCATTTCATTATAAGTCTAAAGGCGATCACAACTACCTTCTTCATAGGATTGTTGGTAGTACAGTACTTTGAATTTAATGGGCAGTACCTAGGTTGGTCATTACTAGCGATACATTTCACTAATTAAATGAATGAAGTTGATGCCTGTTGAGGTGAGGCAAGAAGAGATCATGTCGGCGTGACTCTGGGTGTCCCATTCCTGCTTCAAACAAAACATTTCCACTACTTTCTTGTGTTTTTAACAGCCGAGATCTGCTTACGACTTTGTAGGTAAAAAGAGTTTCAACACTAACAAAAAAATGTGACATGTTTCTCCCACAAATTCATGAACATCAGACTAGATATTCTAGACCAATACTTCTCAACTGTGCTGTAGATACAAATCGCCTGGGATCTGATTCATTAGGCTTGGGGTGAGACCTAAGAATCTGCATTTCCTCCAAGCTCCCAGGTGAGGCCAATGCTGCTTGTCCACTTTTGTGAGTGTGGCAGCAAGGCTCTAGAAAACACTACCAAAGTCCATGACAGTGTTCTTTTCCTTGATAGGGCCAATGTGAATACAGGTTACCTCCTGGTTTCTGAAATATTCCTTTCCCAGTAAAGGAAACTACAAAGAGCGTTTCTGCAAAGTAGCCCGTGTAGCCTCTGAGAACCTGGGTGGTACCTGCGAGAAGCAGCCCTTGTGTTCTGTGAGCACCCTGGGCTGACAGTCCTCCTGCTTCTGCTTCTGCCACAGGTGCCTGCAGAACTATATTCCTGCTCACAGTTTAACCCTGTCCTGCCCCGTGTGCCGCCAGACCTCTATCCTGCCCGAGAAGGGGGTGGCTGCACTCCAGAACAACTTCTTCATCACAAACCTGATGGACGTGCTGCAGCGAACGCCAGGCAGCAACGTTGAGGAGTCCTCCATCCTGGAGACAGTCACCGCAGTGGCTGCGGGAAAGCCTCTCTCTTGCCCAAACCACGACGGGAATGTAAGTCACTGCCCGGCAGCATGACCGCTTTGACTGAGGTAGGCTTAGGGCGCTCAAAGCCTCTACCTGCAAACAGAACCCCACCTGGAAAAGGAGTCATTAAAAAAAGATTTCTGCACGCTCACAGACTAGTCTGCCTGCTTACTTTCTCTGGCCACATTTATTTATATAATAAAATCTGTCCTTGTTGTGTCTACTTATAAGGCGCATATTATTGGTTTCCCCAGGAGACCAAGCCCGTCACTCTTCACAAGCTGGGCATACATTGACCCACATAAACATCCGTGTAATAAACTATGGATAAAGATTTAATAATGGATAAGTTCTGCAAATTGGGGATGTGTATTGAAGTGTTAATTACAGTTCTGTGAGAGACATTTTTCTCATGTTCTATTAGACCCTATTCCTTGATAATAAATAGAATTTGGAAGATATGTGAGTCCCTGATAATAGATTATAGAGTATGAATTCCAAACATATTCTTTGCTACTAGAAAGCACAATGACTGTTACAAACTCAGGGGGACCTGCGTATACTGTCAAATAACTCACTTTCCAACCTGAAGAGGCAGCATTGTATGGTGGCTAAGAGCACTGGCTTTAGAGTTAGACTTCAAAGCCTGCTCTTCACTTATTCCCTATGTCAGCTTTTGCAAGTTTATTAAATTCTCTGTGTCTCACTTCCTCACCTATAAAAAGGAAGAAATAATAGTATTTACCATATAGGATAATTGGGCGAGTTAAATGTTTGGAAGTCCTATAAAGCATATAGAAACCTCTTGATAAATGTTAGCTATTAAAATTATTCCTAATTAATAACTTTATCCCTTTTTTCTTTATATGATGACCACTTCAATAGTGTTTGAAACTGCTTATACCACAAGGCTCAGGGATAGTAAGATCAGTAAAGCACCAAGAGATGGTTGGAGCAAAGCAGTTGTTATTGGCCATAACTCCTGTTTATGTGCCTTACCTCATACCACTCTCTCCGCCCACTGCAGTGCAGCCTCACTGGTCTAGAACTTGCCATGTGGTTTCCCACCTCGGGGCCTGGCTGTTCTCCATTCCTTATCCTGAAGTGCTCTTTGTTCTCTCTTTATGTGGCTAACTCATTCTCATCCTTCATGTGTCAGCTCAGATTTCTCCTACACAGAATGGTCTTCCCTAACAGCACTAAGGCAGGCCACCTCTGACACCAAGCTACCCGCCATCACATCACTTCCTTGATCTCCCTCATGGCGTTCGCTACGCTCTGCATGCCTTTATCTGTGTATTTGTTGACTTATTGATCTTCTGGCTTTCCTTTTAGAAAGTAAGCTCCAGGAGGGGCGACATGTTCACCATTATACCGCTAGTGATAAGCGCAGTATCTTATATATGAAAGTGTGGAAATCGTCGGACACCAACCAGATGAGAACAAGCAAAGGCTCTGTGTTCCCAACTTGCTATAACAAGGAGTTAGCCACCGTCTCTTGTGTTTTGGCAGAGAGTCAAAGGCAGGCAGAGGAACAGGAAAGCTCTATAGTAGAAAAAGGAAAGCTTCAGGTGTGCCCTGATGGAATGCCGTTGGCATGGAGAAGCTGGAAGCGGGCTAATTAGAAGGGCGGCATCCTATTTGATTGGTGAGGCATACATACTTGGCTTTCTCTGATTGGTCCTAAGTTGGAAGTGGGGGAAAAAATTAGGGAAGCTATTAGTAATGAAGTCTTAGCCGTTTGGGACCATTGTTATGGAACTTATTTAGCTTTTTGGATTGTTACTAGAGATAGCAGTCTGACTGCCTTCAAATGTGATTTATAGCAGGCTGACTCCCTGAGCTATTTACTGTAGATATGGAATCAGTTTCGTGGGTAGGTTGTGAGTCAGAGTTCTAATTTTATATATGGCCTGGCCATGGACCATTTGTATATTTAGTCTCTGGAAAGTTAATCGGTGCCTATTTGTTGAATGAATGTGCCAGACTCCATGCTTGGTTTCTTACACACCATCCTGCAAAGTAAGAGTTAGTTACCTTTGTTTTATAAATGAAGAAAAAAACTTGAGCGGTTTAAGTCACAAAACTAATTGACACACCATAAAACTAGACCAGGAGGAAATAGCACCCTGAGCTTTTTGGAACCAAAATAAGAGAGACATCATGGATTACTTATCTTTAATTATTTAATTGAAAGCACACCAGACTATCAATCACTGTTAAGTTTTCCAGGCACTGTCTTATAAGGGCGAGTTACCATGTAAGTTTTGTAAAAGGAACTTTAAATGGTGCCTTCAAACGCAGTTTGCGCGTTCTTCTTATGACCATTTCTCACACTGTCTCTTAGTGAATGCTGAAGCTGTCTCCTTCTGGAGCTCACACTCTAAATACTAGTCTTGGGAGAGCGTTTTTAATCAGATAGAAGGGATTACAGTGTCGTCCAGACATGGCGCTCTCTGGAGATCTGACTTGATAGGGGTGTAAAGTTTTAGAAACATGAGGAAGCCTACTGTAGACACTGGTCTAAATTTGGGATGTAAAAAGCAATCATATAGACTGAGGAATAGTGACAACTGGAAAGATTACTTCAATAAGTCAAGGTAAGTGTGTCATAAAATTCAGGACACAGCTTGTAGCTCAGTGCCGCAAGAGCACCAAGGTTGGGGTGAGGATGGGGTGGAAACACAGGGATGGGCCTGGAAAGATAAATAGGGAGAAGCAGTGATGAGCTATGAATGTCATTGAGAAAATATTTTACCTAAATTCCATATGCAGTGGGAAAGCATTAAAACCTATAAACAGGAGATGGGTATTTTAGTGCATTATGCAGAGGAGTAGAGTAGCGGAGACTGGAGGCTGTGACATCAATTCTGAGTTTATTGCATTGTCCATATTGGAGATGACACAGGCAGAACAAGAATAGCATCAATGGACTTGAAGAAGAAAGGATGACTTTCAGAGAAAAGAGTAAGTACTTTCACTTGACAATCTGCCTCCCACAAATAAAAAGGCATATGCTGAAATCTGTTCAACTAAACTCTTAAGATTGTGAGAATTTGAGCAATTAAAATTGGTCATATACTAGGTCACAAAAAAAATTACTACATTTTCCTAATGTTTAAACCAAGTTCTTATACCCCAATGCTCAAATTCATAGTAACATAGGTTATGAAGAAACCCCAAATCTTTTCTAAAAGCTCATAATTACTTAATCAAAGAAAAAAAATAGCAAACTTAGACTATAAAGTATTGAAAGTAGAAAACTTCTCTGTTAAAGGTATAGTGTAAATTTAAATCTGTACTCAGGAAATTTTATAGGCTTAAGTATTTTCATTTATTTAAAAAGTTCAATTCAAACTGTTAGGAAAAACAACAAGATAAATGTATGGAACACAAAAGAAGAAAAAATAAACAGTTTGAAAACAATAAAACAATTGAGTTGATGAATAAATCTAAGAACTGAATTTTTTTAAGTAATGAAATAATCTGATAGAGCAACAAAGGGAAGTATAGATAAATCAAAATAGGACTAATAAAGAGATATTAATACAGATAAAAAACTTTTTAAATAAGTAAATCAGTTCTATGTGGTAAAGGCTAATATATTAGAAGTCTAAATGTAGTGGGTGATTATCTAGGAAATTATAAAATATCAAGAAAACCTGAGCAGACCGATAATCTTGAAAGAAACTGGTAAAAGTTAATTTAAAACTAAATTCCTTCAAATCTGTATAAAACATGTGATTCATAGTATGTATACTTCTGGATCATAAGATAGAAAGCTGTCCAATTCGCTTAAGATCTATTCATAGCCCTGGCACTAAACTCTAGTAAAGGCAAGACAAGAAGAAAAGTATTAATCATTCATTTTATGAAAGTAGCTATAAAACTCTTAATTAAAATACCCAGCAAATTCTTACGATGTAGAACACTTAAAATTAAGAAAAATGGACGAAGAACTCAAAAGACTCACAGGGAATATATAAGTGGCTAATAATCCTATGATAAAAAAATGCTGAGCTTCACAAATAGTCAAATATTCTCAAGTTTGCTACAATTTTTTAAAAAGATAATAACCAGTGCTGATAAGGGTATGGTGAGGTATTTTTATGAGCTGTGGGTAGGAGGGTAAATTGCTCTTCAGAAAGTTTATGTCAATTTGGCAAAATGCAATGAGTGTTTTACTCAACTTATCTTTTAATCCACCAATTCCACTGACAGAAATATTTCTAAGGAAATAGCTAGAGATGAGAATGAAGATTTGATATAAAAGCATTAATTGAAAATTCTATATTATAGTAAACATCAGAAATAATCTAAATGTGTAATTTTAGGGAAATGGTTAAATTATGGTAAGCCATATAACTGATAATTGGTTAGCCGTTAACACTGATGTTTTGGTAACAAATGGCATTTATGCTAATATGTGAGCTTGTATGTTTAGTTTGTTTTTTAGTTAGTAGGACCACAGTGTATATATATGTAGTATAGAAAGGAGATGAATATTCCGTGCAGAAGGGACAAAGTGGCATAGAGAATAGAAAAACAAAGGGACTGTCATTTTCTATATGATCCCAGAGTTCCAGGAGCCAGGAAGTAGTGGGTGATGGGCTAGAGAAGTAAAAGGGCCAGGTCTTGGAGGACACTGGATGCTGTTTTGAGGAACTTGAGTCTGTCCTGAGTCATGGGGAGCTATGAAAGGATGTGAAGTGTTGGAGTGCCCAGGCAAGATATGCATTTTGCTCACTTCAGAGTAACTGGAGATGTGATAGGGAGGGAGGGTAAATTCTAAGAGAATGGGGGCCTGAGGTGGGGGGGGGGGACCACGTGGGCACCTGCTGAAATAATCCACAGAGGGGGCCTGATCCAGAGCAGCCTGAGCAAGACTAGAGAAGTGAGCTGCACAAGAGTTGATTGGCTGGGTGGGCTGGTGGGGACATGGTGACTCCCAGGTATGTAGCTTGGGTCCCTGAGAAAGCGGTGGTGTGTCTCACTGACATAGAGGTTGACTCTTTAAAATTACTGTG